TGAATTTTAACAATATGTAAATTGTTGATTAAAACAAAAGTTACAGATAAAAACGTATCGAAAATAACTGTCCTGGTTTTATCTGTCCTGTTAATGAATATTACGTTTAATCTGTTTTTGGTGATATCCATTTGGCGTGACTCTGTATTTATACATCCCGTCATTGTGTTATTGTTCTATGGTAATTTTTGTATTCTTGTCTTTCTCTTTTGCTAATGTGCTTTGGCTATATGCCTTTTTGTGTTTCTTTGATACATATGACGTGGCTCTATACTTACACATCCCGTCATTGTGTTATTGTTCTATGATAATTTTTGTATTCATGTCTTTCATTTTTGCTAATGTGCTTTGTCTATATGCCTTTTTTTGTTTCTTTGATACATATGACGTGGCTCTGTACAAGTATGTAGTTTATACATCCCGTCATTGTGTTATTGTGCTATTGTAAATTTTTGTATTCTTGTCTTTCATGTTTGCTAATGTGCTTTGTCTCTATGCCTTTTTGCGCTTCTTTGTTACATATTTGTTTGTTTTTATAGTGATTAAGATTCTAACACAATGTTGACTGCTGTACCCCTATTTTTGACATTTTTATCTATTATGTATGTTTTGTTCCCGCATCGTTGTCACTGATATAATGGAATTTGACGAGACTGTCATACAAGTGAGAGGTTTAGCTAGCTATAAAACAAGGTTTAATCCACCATTTTCTACATAAGAAAATGCCTGTACCAAGTCAGGAATATGACAGTTAACGTTGTTATCCATTCGTTTGATGTGTTTGAGCTTTTGATTTTGCCATTTGATTAGGGAATTTCCGTTTTGAATTTTCCTCGGAGTTCAGTATTTTTGTGATTTTACTTTTTAATGACCTTCCCGAAAATTTTACTGTTTTGAAACAGTAAAAACTCCTGGAGTTATCTTTCTTTTGTTGTGTTACATTCGTCTTCTCAAGTCGGAGTTTCCTCTGGCCGTTAATTTTTATGACTACAAGGTTTTTCATTTCAATGCCATAACATTGTTCATGGCGATTGTAAGAAAATAGTAAATTCAGGTTTTTTGCGCATACTAATAGGGACACGAACACAGTGTTTCCGTGTTAGAAAAATAACCAGAGACAAATAAGTTTTAACCTAATTTGGATAATGGTCCGATCGATCAACATAGTTGGCCATTGTAAAGATACGTTTGTCCTTTAGCTCGTAGATAATGTGGATTTGTGCAGTTTTGATAAACGATCTACATAGGGTACCAGCGGTTCGTAAACATCCCTATTGAACTAATACCACAAGACTGTAAGACCCTTGCTAGGGGGCCGGTCCACAGTTCGGTTATATGCGTGATGTTTAAACACACAGTCGTGAGGCTGCTCTGATTGATTAATTGAACGAGTTAGGATGATCCAATGTTTTGTACAAGACAATATATGCTGAGTCGAATCAGTAAATGACCATTATATGTGTTTTTTTGACAATAAAAGTAAAAAAAAAAACTGACACTGATGAAGACCGTTTGTTTACGATATAACTGCATCTTTTACGTTTAAATCTCTTATAGCCAAACAACTCTTTTAGACTCTTCACTTTTTATTGGCAAGTTAGGCAGATCGCTGGTTGGGTATTTATATTTTTTATATAAAAACTAATTTAGAACATGTTTTAAATCTTCTGAGTGTCGTCTCGCTATCGTTTATTTTTTCTTCTTGTTTTGAGAATGTGTAGGTATATTCAGCTATTTCATTGTATGCGCTGAATTTGTGTACAACTTATCTTCCAGTCTCGATGATCGATTTAGATCCGATTACGTTTATTGGACCATGGAAGTAAAATATAATACTTCCATGATTGGACTTTATGATGACTTTACGATATGAATAAAACGATTTGGGACATGATGAGTTCGCAACTTATAAACTACAGAGGCGGGGGTGTTTTACGGCCTTGAATTCACATGAGGACTCGAATGGTCGGAACTTAACTACACAACAAAAAAAAATAAATACAGCAAATGATGTTGTAATAACTTTTATAAAGTACTGGTTATGGATTTCCAAAACACGCCATGACTTGAAATACAAATAGCATAAAATTTACACGAACAAGGATTGGGTCACAATCATTTTTTCCTTTGAAAATAAAAATGAACTTATTTACGCCAATTAATAATTACTCAATCGTATAAATTCATAATCCGTTCAAAAGGTTAACAACAACACCCGTCTGAAATAATCTATATAAATACATTGCGTTTAAAAATACCGTTTTTGAAAGTTCACTATCATATAAAAGGCCAATTTGGTCTCGTGATGCTGGTCTCGAGTATGAGTGGTCACGGGTTCGATCCCGGTCTGTCAAAGCAAAGACTTGAAAAGTACTAGTGTTGTACTGTTACACCACTGTCCGAGGTTAGGGAGAAGGTTTCGCTCCAGAAAACATATTTAACCCGCCACATTCTGTATGTGCCTGTCCCAAGTCAGGAGCCTGTAATTCAGTGGGTGTCGTTTATTGCTGTTTATTATATCATTAAATTGTTTTTCGTTTATATTGTTTCTATACACAAATCAGGCTGTTAGTTTTCTCGTTTGAATTGTTTTACATTTGTCATTTCGGGGCCTTTTATAGGTTATTATGCGGTATGGGTTTTGCTCATTGTTGGAGGCTGTACGTTGACCCATAGTTGTTAACTTCTATGTCATTTGGTCTCTGTTGGCAATCATACCAAATCTTCTTATTTTTAAATTTGCTGCTTCTCACTCGACTATTACGAATAAGAACGAAGACCAATAGCCTGCCGCAGCCTGAACAAACTACCTTTAAAGCCAGTAACATTTAGATCTGACAGTCAATCAGGACATCCTCTTATTCTTAACGAAGAAATAAATTTCCAAAAGTATAACCGTGCATGCTATAAACAAACGATAAAGTGTCAATGGTGTTTTTAAACGTAGTGTACACTTTTAGAAGTAAACAGTGTAAGAAATTATGTTAATCTGGAATAAAATGCTATTATACCTTAATCTGTTTCTTGATACACATAATATGGTATTAAGAACAGGAAACAATCCTTACTGTTTTGATAAATAAACAAAACCAAGCTTAAAACCTCGCAATCGTAGATCAATGCAGAGTTTAAAATAGATTCACTATACTTTGTATTCTCAAAACCGGGTCACAATAATTTCCCCAAACCAGTTCAAACTTACACTGTTTTAGAGAAAACTTGTCCCTAAACAACATACTCTGTTTTTCCAGTGACAGTAAATATTTCACAACTTTCTTATTAAATGTATTACTAAATTGGTCTATTCTTAATATTCTCGATTTTGCATGAACTAAGTAAGTACACATTTGTTATACACTCATGATGTATAGCATACAAACAAACACACAAAAACAATGATTAATTTTAATACAATACTGCTTCTGGATTTCCAAAACGTGACAGGAAATTAAAAATGTTGTTATATAAAATTTACATGAACAAGGATTGTGTGGGCATTATTTCCATCAGTAAATACTTACGCCAATAATTAATCAACCGGGTAAATTAATGGCATGCCAAGATAATCCGTTCAAGAGCTTTACGACAGTACTTGACTGAAATAATCTTTACATTGCGTTTAAAATTACCATTTCTTGAAAGTTATTTATCAGATAAATGATCAACTGATGTTGAAACCACCATGGACTGTCCATGGCTTTCAATGTCTCGTGATAGAATGCTTGTCTCGTGTGCGGGAGGTCGGCCAAACATGACTTAAAAACTGGTATATACTGATACCTTTATAGGAAGACAGTGTAAAAATTATATTAATCTGGAACAGAATGTATAATTATACTTTAGACTTGCTACAAATTATATGGTATTAAGAACAGGAAACAAACTTAACTGATTTTTTAGATAAACAAAACCCAGCTTTACACCACTCAATAGTAGATCAATGCAAAATTTGTGTTCTTTAATCCTATCCACTAACATTCTCCACCTTATACGAACTAACCAAGCCTACAAAACAGCTGTGCATATCCAATATACCCGGCATGCTCAGTTGGTATAATTAAATCAAATCAAATCAAATCAAATATTTTATAATGAAAATCCTAAGTGTCGTCAAACAGGATATGATAGCTCCTTCAGATCCTTACGCTTGAGAACTCATCATAATAAAGTTGAATACCATATATCAACTAAGTAAGATGTGACGAAAAGTTCCTTCCCTTGCTCAGTGGGTAAAATTCATAAATTCAACTTGAGTATCCCCTGATAGACTTGGAACATGATGTGACTGCTCGGTAGATCTGACACTCGCTCACACGAACTCAGCAAAGTAAAGTTCCGAAACGAATTTGAAATATTCTTGGTGTTTGGCTTATGTACACGCATCGATTATTGCATTCAACAAAATCATTAATCGATTAGAACTTGGCGATGGTCGATAATTTCTAGAAAGAAGTCACAACGTTCTCAATATTATGTGAAGAAGACAGTGAAGGCAAACATCTATATCGATTATTGCATTCAACAAGAATACTAGCTCGATACACACTTGACGATGATCGATTTTTTTCTAAATAAAAGTTGCAACGTACTGTATATAAGACAAGTGCGGCAATAATCTCCGTTTGTTTCAACCATTCAACAATTCAAGGGAGAACACTCCGTTTGAAGTTTAGTACATTAAATATTCCATTTTCTTTCTACTGTATAACTGCTTCTGTTTCTACCTGACACGACATCTAACGATTTCCAAAAATTTAACCTTGTGTTCGGTTTAAAAGACAACCATTCCTATATAGTAAACAATTATAGTTCCAAATAATGTTTAAAAAAGATCTCGAATAATACAATGAAATGTTCATTATTGACAATTTTTGTCTTAGATATGCAACAATGTTTCATTCACGAACAAAATTTTGATTCCCCTGTACAAATCTTCATACATTGTTCGGTGCATCCTCCTCCCAAACAGGGCACACGAGGCTTATATTCTAACTTCTTAATAAATAATTAGCACTTTTATTTACATTTTATTTACATACATCATTTGCACCTTAAAAATAAAAAGAACACATAAAAATACTGTTCAGAACATTCATATCATTTAAACATTATTAAGTCATAAAAATAAGCAAATCCTAGTACATGAACAAAATAAAAAATAAATTCGGTCGAGACATTTGATGATTCGAGTATACTGTATAGAGGGTTTCATGCAATGAGTACGACAGTTTTTATTTCACGTGTTTTAGCGCTGAAATGCAGTTGTATTCATCATGTTTCCCAAAATGAAAGATGATGTTGGTATACTTTAAACGGACATCAATCAAACTACATAAAAAACCAAGTTTATACCATAGTAATGTAGCACAAATCAAGTCTAAATTAATTTTTTCCCTGTATATATCTCTCCCTTTCGACCCTCCGTACAGTGTACTCACTAAACACGTTATACATGAAATTTGTACAGATGTGTATATACACGTAACATTTATCAATTATAATACAATTCACAAAGTTTTCATCCATTAATGACTATTTGGACGGAAAACGACAATATATTATACTAACGAATTTAGAGATACTGTGAAAAACTATTTATGAAGAAAGTATAAATAAAAACTAGTGGGCATGGACTTTCTTTAGTACTTAACAATATTAGTTGCCATATTCTTCACTTGAAAACTGTGAAGATTTTTTTTATATAAATATGAACCGCTTAATGAATTATTCAGATAAAATTATAACAGCTTACATAGCAAAATGCAAATCAATTTGAAATCATGTATTCATTATTCAACTTCCAAAACAAAACACTTTCATCAACATGAGACTGAAACAATGAAAAACAATGCTACATATACAATGCAAACATTCGAAAAAACGAAAGAAAAAAAATTCTTACTGCAAATATAATGAATTATATTAAAGAAGAAAAATATAAACAAAACATCTATTAGTAACTATTTATATCATTCAGAAAAGTTAACCCTTTCAATTGCATAGATTGCTTGTATTTCTGATTTTGAATTCGAGGCACCAGACTGTCAGTTTAAACCCCGCACTTAGCAGGTGCGTTCGGCTCCAATCTTGATTGACTAGGATTGCCAGTATTCCTGAAGAAGGTCGGTTGTTCTCTCCGACTTGCTATATCATTCAGAAAAGTTAACCCTTTCAATTGCATAGATTGCTTGTATTTCTGATTTTGAATTCGAGGCACCAGACTGTCAGTTTAAACCCCGCACTTAGCAGGTGCGTTCGGCTCCAATCTTGATTGACTAGGATTGCCAGTATTCCTGAAGAAGGTCGGTTGTTCTCTCCGACTTGCTCAACCAATAATAACTGACCAACATGCTACAGCCAATAATTATAGTGTTGAAAGTGGCGATATACACCAAAACTTAATCAATCAATCATTTTGCATTCCTATTCGATTATGCCCGTTCTTTCAGTTTCTCTCCCTCTCTCTCTCTCTCTCTCTCTCCAAATCTTTTTCTTTGAATTTCATTCAAGCAAAATAATAATTTCTTGTTATTTACGCTATTTAAACGATTTATATTATCTTTATATACATATAGTGATGTATATTTCATGCAAATATCCGGTTTTATAACATCCAACACCCAATTTTATTATGTATTATCTAAATATACAATTCTGTTTTATCTAAATTTCCTGTAGAAAAAAAACTCTCTAATTATATATCATCTATCATTATGACCAGAAACATTATTTCATTAAAAGCACTTGAATAAATAAAAAAAACATTAAATAAATCTAATTTGACATCAAATGAACAGGATTACTCTTACACAAGTCATGTATTATAATTTACAATCAAACAAGTATAACACACCGCAAAAAATAGTTCTTATTACGAAAACGCCTATATCAAAATAAAAGCAAAATACTGATTAGAACAACTTAAAAACTTTTTTCAAGATTTTCTCTCTCTCTGGTGAAACAGTCAATATATACACACGTTTTGTCATGACCAAGGATCTATCACACATTTGATTTGTTTTTTGTCATATGAAATAATAAATATTGCACATATGTGAAAATGCCTTTGAGGCTATAAAGCACTTATTGTTTAAATTGTCATCTAGCTTATTTTATTTTTAACTAAAGCAAAGTACAGTTGTTTAGTGTCCGTTGCGTGAAATAAAAACAAAAAAGTCAATGATCCAATTTTCAAGAATTTTCCACAAGGGCATCTGTTTCCTTTGGTGGTTCTATATTATTTTCGATCTCCAATTGTATTTCACTCAGCATAGGACTAGTTTCATTGGTTGTTATGGCTGGTGTACCGGAAACGGAAATGTCGTCATTTTTATTTGGTGTCGTGACGTCCTCTTTGTCATCTTCTGTTTCGTTGGTTCCTAATAACTTATCACCTTCTTTGCTTTCGTCATCCGTTGTTTCATCAATATATTTAATATCTGAAAGAGAATTTATACATTTAATAAAATAGATCATTGCTTCAAAATGCATGCAATTTCAGTGGTCTTTCTTTTGGTAGTTGCAAATCCGGCAACCAGTCAGTTTAATGTACAAGTAAACTTTGGTGACATAAGGCCGTTAATTTTCTCTTTAGAATTGTTTCACTTTTTTTTTGTTATCCTAGAGTCTTTTTAGCCTCCTACAGAGGTTACGGTCGCCTTTCAAAAATAAGTAATTGACAATGGAAGAAGATTCAAGATGGACCTAATACTCAACTTATATGTTAAAAATAATTAAGTAGTACATAATACATAAGTTTAATTATAACAAATGTCGATGAGGGGTATTAACATACATTAAATAGCTTCGTAGGGGATACAGTTCAAGGCACTTTAATTTAAAAACCATGCAATTAGTCTATTTTCACCCTTAGTATTATGTTGCATTGTCCAGTAACCTAACCTGAACATATCTAGTATACACAAGGGAAACGTAGTGGGCATTTTATATATTATAAGGAAATTTTCACACACTAGTTAAAAATGGAGTAAACGTTTCGAGATTACTGTGTTTAACCCTAAGCGAAAGTTGTTTTTCTCTTCTAAAAACCACAGGCGCTTGGCGAATGGGCACCCTTTTAAGTTTCTATTTTTTTTTGTAAATATTTACAACTTTTTTTTACCTATTTTCACTTATTTAATGTGTTCTTGCTCTTATCATGGAAATATCGTATTGACAATATAATACTATATATACCATGGTTATATCAAGAACAGTAGTTAATATATTATAATGGCAGATGCCCATCTATTCTTATGTCCATTCCCTAGTGCGTCTGCGCTAAAAACCGCCATACCTTGCTGCACTTGTTTCCTTCTCTTGTCTGGTATAGCATACACATTATCCACTGCGTGTGGTGTTATTACATCAAGTCTCTCACTGCTACATGTTCCGTTTGCCTCTTTTCCAATTTCGTCATAGATACCGTTTGACCTGTATGTATTAGTTGCGTCTACCATGATAGGGATACTTCCGTTATGGGGACCACCATTATTTTGTGCTTTCTGAAAGAAAAATTGACTATGTATATACTAAATGGTATTTTGCAGAAAATTTCGTTTACAGAATCCATCTACGTTTAAAACGCAGGTTTCTTTTAGATTTAAGAGTTGCTATAAACCTTGCTTGTAAAATCTATTCATTAATCTAGTAAAAAGCATTTTTAGTCTGCATGGGAAACTTGGTCTATTTTTTAAATGAAATTTGGCTTTGAACTATAGCTTTCAGTAACAGCAAGTAGTTCTTAAACGGTTCATAGTGTTCATTGTCTTCTTGGTTTGAGTGTATGTGTGTGTGTGTGTGGTGCCGTTTCAACTGAATTTTACAGCTTGTTCTTCTGTTGTGATGTTTCACATAGGTTAACCTCACAGACTTGTTTAACCTCGTTGTTTTTTATGTGTCTGTCCCAAGTCTGGCCTGTAATTCAGTGGTATTGTCTATAGTGGTATAGTTGATGTCTACTATAATTATTTCTCGTGAAGTGAAAATTTAAACAAACATACTTTTTCTGTCTAAAAATTTCGAAACTGTTGGACATGTTTATGTACTTATGGTTGGGGTGGGTTCTTATTTTTGGATGTGTCGTTCTTCCAAGCTGGTTAAAAGGTTTTGAATATTTGACATGATGCAATTGACATGATGCAACTAAAACAAATAAAAACAGACGTGGAGTCTAATATTCCTTGAAGGAATATCCACTTTATATGAAGTAGTAGATAGAAATAGTGACGCAGTATGGTTAATTGCACAAAGAGACTTTCACAAGAGAACTTCACGACCTATGAACCAAGGACAACAAAAGGAGAAATTGCGTAACTAATAACTATTATTCCGCGGATATTAATAAATTACAGAGTTTCATAGACCTAGTATTAATTTTAAATGTCACATGTATTCAGCTCTGCTAAAATTTCACACAATTGTAGATCGATGGGGACAGATAAAATATTTTAATGTATATGTCAGCAATTTTATGATATCAATTTGAAATATATTCTCTGCAGTGACAGAGATTATTGCCGTTTGAAATAGATTCTCTGTGACAGAACTCATTGCCGTTTGAAAAAGAGTCTTTGCAACGACCGAATTCATTGCTGTAATGAAATCACGCATGCATGCTAACTTTTAGACAAAGGTTCGAGTCTTATAGAACATTTGATGCTGCTTCTTTTTTCGGTTTTTGCACTGCATTGTAACATAAAACATGCAACAAATTATATTTGTCTAATTCACCGAATTTTCCATAAAAAAACTGAATATGCATCTGATATCTTCAAATACGATTGTATAGAAATAGACATTTAAAGAATGGATGTCAACATTGAGACTTTAGATTAGACTTGAGTCAGGGAAGTACAAATTTGAGACACGAGAGATAAGTAACAATAAGTTTTATGAAAAAGAATAGAGTAAAACAGATCGATCCCATGCCCTCAGCAAATTTCCTAACTACAAATAACCGTCTAGGTGGTCTCGTGATTGCATTCTCAAATTTTCATCTCGTGGCCTTTACGGATAAGAACAAAGACAGGTCGACTCATAACAACGGCAACGTGGGAACACATGCTGATTGGTACTCTATTAGCCATCCTTTATAAAATCTATAGATCACAATGTCGGTCTTGTACATGTACAAAGAAGCGTTAATTTCTCAGATTGTTGTCTATATGAAATTATCAGCCCCTCCCCTGTTTAGGATATGATATTTTGATTTTGGGAATGAGCAGGAGGATTGTTGGAAATGCATATGCTGGTCTGGTTAGAACTGGAAATAAATAATCTTGACCAAGACAGGACTTAAATGAATATTCTGCCCCACAACATACATGAAATAATTATTTACTAAATAAACCGGCCTAGCAACCCCCCCCCCCCCCCCCCCTTTTCGCCCTAAAATTCAAATGGTCGTCTCCATATTTAATTTCTACACGATGATCTCTATGAAACGAACAATCCTTTTATTTTTTTTTGGAAAACTCGATTCTTTGGGTAATTAGCATACATTTATTTGCACACAAGGTCGTACGGGAACGTTACCGTATAATTTCACCTCCTTGATCTTTGGCATTTGTCGGCTCATTGACAATTTAAATTGAAAGTTGTTTTAGCTTTAAAAGTGGTTGATAATTTGTATAATCAGGGTTTATATAATAAATCTTTAAAATAAGCAATCTCTTAAAGTTAAGTTCAGTTTGCAATATAGAAAAAAATGGTATTCATCATCAAGTTTATTACAAAGTTTACATAAACTTTGATCTCTGGGTACATTTTTATATCTTCCCATTTCAACTTATATACTATAAGAGCTTGTAGACGCTTGACCAAACGCACGTTTTATGCAGGATGCTCACTTCCGTTTTACGTAAGGGAGCTACCATTTGATTTTTATGGGAGGGGGGGGGGGGGGGGGGGGGGGGTGGGTGGGGGGCTAGGATGAAAAATTGTGTCCTGCGTTTTCTTTTAGTTGTAATCTCGGTCCTGCCTTTTTATTTTTCACTTTATTTGGTCCTGCCTTTTTTTGTTAGTTTATCCTGACTTTTTATACATAATTTGTATAAATTGTAAAACTTCTGTCCCGCCTTTTTTCAAATTTCATCCTAGCCCCCCCCCCCCCCCCCCCCCCCATAAAAATCAAATGGTAGCTCCCTAAACTGCACCTCTGTAAAAGTAAAAATTTTCATTCCGATAGAACTACCAAACGAAGAATTTTGTTCTTATGCGAATACCCAACCATAAATATTAGTAATTCGATCCTTTTTAAATATTAAGTACAAATTCATTCAGGGACTTTAAAAGACTTCGGTTGTTAAAATCAGAGTATAAATTACTTTCCACTGCTAATGTTTTGGCTGACCTTGAAAAGAACCCAACAGACGAAGGTCAGACAAGGTTTCCAGTCTCGTAAATTACACTAATATGTCGGAATAACCTGGTTACTAAAGAAGTTAAACATTTGTTTGTATGAAGATTACATCACAAGCTGCAATAAATTACACGAACATTTAATTCACCTCTGTTTGCATAAGGGTAAAAAAGTGTTTTCTACAAAGTCGTCCGTATGTTTTAAAACTAGATTCGGAAGTGAAATTATAACGAATTTGGCACCAGTGTCAGAGAATTGCTAATCTACAAGTCTTTTTACATGCAAGTTTAGAGTTTTAATTTTATTAATGTTTTTTTTAGCATAATTTATTTGTAGTA